AGAGAGAGAGAGAGAGAGAGAGAGAGAGAGAGAGAGAGAGAGAGAGAGAGAGAGAGAGAGAGAGAGAGAGAGAGAGAGAGAGAGCTTCACAATTAAATGATAGGCGAAATGTCATTCATGTACTTTCAAAAGCTCATTCACCCTCTTGTACTATGAACTCAATTATTAACACAGTACACGTCTACACGTGTGTGCACAAATTTTACAACTCTATACTGAAAAAAGGTGAGCACTTCACTGATTCATTCTGGCTCTCTATCCCATCCTTGTCAGTGCGCGTTATTTCACCGATAGTATCAAACCCCATACAGCAGCAGTAGGGCGGCAATACAGAACAATAGATAGGGATCATATTAAGAACTGAAAAACAAAAAAACTATCTAAATATTAAGAACGAAAACTCCCAAAGTTTAGTGATTATATCAATTTATTGATATAATCATAATTTATTATTATTACTATATATTTATTTTATTATTATTATAAATTTATTATTATCAGCTCTTGATCACGTGCTCTTGATAACGCACTCACGTGATAGTCACGTGAGTTTCTCTAGCAACGAGAGAACGTCGTTCCAAGCGCGGGAGATGAAGATGGTGACAGTGGAGGCTGTGGGGAGGTACGTGAAGCTGGTGCTGCACAAGAACCACATCAACAAATACAACCTCTACAACCAGGTCGGGCTGATGGCGATCAGCGTGTTCGGTCACAACGTGGAGGAGAAAGGAGAGCAGGACGACCTCATGGCGGATGAGGTATGCGACGACAGGGATAACGCGTTTCCGGATCCGCTTTACCACTTAGGATTCCGTTACATGTTGTTTGGATTCCGTTACATGCCCTTTCTAATTTGGTACATGACTTTTCGGTTTCGTTACATGTCATTTCGATTCCGTTACATGCCCTTTCTAATTTGGTACATGACCTTTCGGTTCCGTTACATGTCATTTCGATTCCGTTACATTTCTTTTAAATTCTGTTAGATGGCAGTGGTAAAAGTCAGGAAGTTACAATCGCTTACATCTTATTTTAATATTTATTTTGAATTGTTAGATTTAATTGAACCTAAATAAATTTTGCATGTCCGTGTCATATTTAAAGTGACACAATAACTACGGTGTTCCTATAACCGTCTGCAATTTTACGACGTTAAATTGTTTTTTTCACTAGGCACTACTGAGTAATACTGCGGCACACCCACTAGACATGACTATCAAGTCAGACCGCCCAAGCTCGAGGGGCAGTGTTGCCTCCAGTGGAAGCAGGTACTAGAAAAATAAAAAATAAAAAATAATAACATAATAAAATGTTTTCAATAATTACAATAATGTATTTTTGTGATGATGACTTTTTATGAGTGCATTGTAAAATCTTACAATTTAACCCGTTATACAATTTTCCTGTTTATGGTAAAAAAATAATAATCGATGTATGATTTTATTTGATTAGCTTGAACAGCACAAACAGAGTCTTTAGCTTCTCGCCGTTTGATGAGCTTGCGTTTGATCGCATCAACGACCCGGAGATCAAATCCCTCATCCTTAAAGTTGAGGCCAAGAAACAGCAAGCCGTATTGGGTGAGTGAGAATGTGTGTGTGTGTGTGTGTGTGTGTGTGTGTGTGTGCGTGCGTGCGTGCGTGCGTGCGTGTTTGTGCGTATGTGTGTGTGCATGTGCGTGTGCGTGTGTGTGTGTGTGTGTNGGACATGTACTATCATGTATAGTTCTATAACCCCCACACGTACGTCTCTACGTTAGTAGTACATGTACTATCATACATAGTTCTATAACCACCACGTGTACGTGTCTACGTTAGTAGTACATGTACTATCATGCATAGTTCTATAACCCCCACACGTACGTCTCTACGTTAGTAGTACATGTACTATCATGCATAGTTCTATAACCCCCACGTGTACGTCTCTACGTTAGTAGTACATGTACTATCCTGCATAGTTCTATAACTCCCACGTGTACATATCTACGTTAGTAGTACATGTACTATCATGCATTGTTCTATAACCCCCACGTACACGTTTCTACGTTAGTAGTACATGTACTATCATGCATAGTTCTATAACCTCCACGTACACGTCTCTACGTTAGTAGTACATGTACTATCATGCATAGTTCTATAACCCCCACGTACACGTGTCTACGTTAGTAGTACATGTACTATCATACATAGTTCTATAACCCCCACGTGTACGTCTCTACGTTAGTAGTACATGTACTATCATA